CTCCCCCCGGGGCCCCCGCCTGCCCCCCCTGCCGGCCCTGGCTCTGGGAGTCTGGCCGCCAGCGGGGAGCGGAGGGTGGTAGGAGACCGGGGAGGAGCCCCAAAGTGCGCCCGCCTCTGGGCCCAGCCCTCCTCTGGGCCTGGGAATGAAAAACCAAGAAAACCCGGAAACCAGCCGTGTCTCCACTGCAGGCGCCGGGGCGACTGTCCCCGGAAGCAGACGGCTGCGGAGGCGACGTTGCGACGTTGCTGCCCTGGAAAGCAGGCCGCTGGCGGGTGTCCCCACAGCAGGTGTGCGGTCTGCCAACACTGTGTGCCCGCCTCGCTGGGCGGCAAGGCGCTGACGGGGACCTCCAGACTTTGCAGTCTTTGATCCTCACCCAGAGCCGCTAACCTGCACTGGGGGCGCCCTCTCCGGGTCCACATACCCCCCGAATTCTGGCAGAGACTCCCGTGTGCAGCACGGTGGTTCTCAGCTGGGTGGGTTCATAGGTGGGGCCGGCTTAGGTGATCTCAGTGACCGTCCGGAAGGAAGGAGGCGCTGCAAGTGCGCGCTTGTCCCGCCGGAGGCCTCCCTCACCATGTCCGCTGAGCCTTCACCAGGTCGAGCCCGGCAGACTCTAAACCCAGGCTCCGAGGAGTTCCATGATTCTCAGAGGAGCAAACGCAGAGAGAGCAGAGTCCCGCGGAGGCTGGGCATCCGCGTCCTGCTGGTGGGGTGAACATCAGGGAGGCCACGCTCACGCGGTCACTTGCAGAGGTCCGACAGGTCTGCAGACAGCGGTCACACGGGAGCAGGCTCTTCTAGGCAGCCGGTTTCCTGGGGACCAGGCCTAGCAGGGAGACCCAGCTGTGGGTCTGTTTCCAGATAGAGAGCAGCGTGGCCAAATCCTTCGGTCTCACTGACAGCCCGGCATGCTGGGGCCTGGTCGGTCCCCAGCCAAGCGGTCCATCGGTCACCCAGTGCAAAGGGCTCTGCCCAGCGTGGACGTGGTCTCGTGAGACAGGTCGGAGGCAGACAACTTTTCTGCTTCCACAACGTGCAGGAACCTTTCCAGGGTGCAGCCATGCTGTGGGGGAAGGCGGGGGCCCTTCCTGCTGCAGGCCCTCCCTCTGCAGCCCGCGTCCCCTCCTGGGGTCCCCTCAGTGTGCCTGTGGATGAGGCTCAGCCTCCCTGTGGTAGTACTAAGAGGCCAGACCTTTGTGAAGGGGACGGAATTCTGACTCGAATAGAGTGGGGCCAAGGGGTGCGTGCCATCTGGAGGGCATGGGGGGGGAATAGAGCACCCCTTGGGGGATGGTCACAGCACGGTCCCTTCTCCATATCTCCCTCCTCGTGGGATTTTGAGCACACTAACTCATGTGACTGGTGTGTTTTCTTTCCTCCTTTTTTTTTTTTTAGAGAGATTTTTGCTATAATGCACATGCATTTAATGGAGAGATAGAAAACATGAAATCGCCCCCCAGAGGGAATGGCCACATGGCAACCCCCTGTCCTCCATTTTTTCTCTTGTGATTTTGGACACGCATGCACATGCGCCCCACATGAGTTTAAGCTCCTGGGTCTGGAACTCGAACCACAGTTGATTACCTGGGATTCTAGCAACATAGTGGTTACATCACTGGATTCCATCAACGACCATCTGTTGGTCCTTCCCAGTATGTTTTTTTTTTTTTTTTAAGATTTATATATTTATTCATTTATTCATTCTAATTTGACCAGAGAGAGACACACACAGAGAGAGAGAGAGGAAAGCGAGAAAGCAAGCCACCAGGTCCAGGACTCGAACTGTAGTCGGCCATGTGGGAGTGTCCAGCACCTTAACCACCATGCCACCTACCACGCCACCTGCTGGTCCCTCCATGTTTTTAAAGGCACCATGTTTTTAAAGGCACCAGGTCCAGATCTCAAACCCTTTAGTCATCCATGTGAGACCAAGCTGCCTTAACTACCATGCCCTAGCTGGCCCACTTCTGTTTTCTCTTGATCATTTTTCAAAGATTAATTTATTTCATTTTATTTGCTGTTATTATTATTATTATTATTTTGCTATAGGGCGTGTGCGCTTGCCAGACAGACACAGAGAGAGAGACACAGAGACAGCAAGAAATCACCCCCCAGGTGGGATGGTCACACCACAATCCCTTCTCCTCCATTCTCCTCTCGGGATCTTGGGCACGCACGCACACATGCCCGACGTGAGTTTTAAGCCAGTGGGTCCGGGACGCGAACCGCGCGGTCGACTACGTGGGAGTCCAGCGACATAGCCATTATGCTAACTGCTGGTTCCCATTATTACTATTTTTAAAATTGAACCAGAGAGAGAGTCTCTAGGTCTGGGCTTTGAACCACAATGAACCACGTGGGAGTCCAGCTCCTTCACCACATGCCAGTCCCTTAATTCATCATTTTAATGAAAGGAAATGCTTGCATGTTGTTTACTCAGCTGCTGTTTCCCTCATCTGCTCTTCCGCGGACCGCCAAGGTGAAAACCCGCCTTTATTCTCAGCCTTTAGTCCCTGTCTGAGTGTTGGTCAGGGCCCCTGTGGGGACAGTAGTCAGTAAAAACCAGCCCTAGGAGAGATCTGGGCAGGATCATTCCCCTGGCCCAGTTGGAGTCACATTGTCCAATGAAAGGCAAGCAGTAATGACATCATCAGTTACTAGGCAGATCAATCGACAAGTTACCCTTAGGGAAGTGTAAACACACCACCAGTTTTCGGATAGGCTTGGTCCTAACAGTTTAGAGAGAGCATAATTCAGGCTCGTTAATTCATTCCTTAACATGAATATTAATTTGGCCGGCTGACCAATTAGTCTGCCACTGAGTCCCCTTTTTTTTTTTTTAGAGAGATTTTTGCTATAATGCACATGCATTTAATGGAGAGATAGAAAACATGAAATCGCCCCCCAGAGGGAATGGCCACATGGCAACCCCCTGTCCTCCATTTTTTCTCTTGTGATTTTGGACACGCATGCACATGCGCCCCACATGAGTTTAAGCTCCTGGGTCTGGAACTCGAACCACAGTTGATTACCTGGGATTCTAGCAACATAGTGGTTACATCACTGGATTCCATCAACGACCATCTGTTGGTCCTTCCCAGTATGTTTTTTTTTTTTTTTAAGATTTATATATTTATTCATTTATTCATTCTAATTTGACCAGAGAGAGACACACACAGAGAGAGAGAGAGGAAAGCGAGAAAGCAAGCCACCAGGTCCAGGACTCGAACTGTAGTCGGCCATGTGGGAGTGTCCAGCACCTTAACCACCATGCCACCTACCACGCCACCTGCTGGTCCCTCCATGTTTTTAAAGGCACCATGTTTTTAAAGGCACCAGGTCCAGATCTCAAACCCTTTAGTCATCCATGTGAGACCAAGCTGCCTTAACTA